ATTAAAAACTTTGTGTATGTCCTAAAGGAATGAAAGGAAATTAATACTAGAATTATAAAACAGGTCAAAACAACCAAAATTATAAGGATGCTTCTTTTGCAAATTATTAAATAAATAAATTCACCCATGCATGTATTATGATATAAGTTACATGATAGGCCAACAAATGTACTCTTTTCATTTTTATAAAATATAAGAAACTAGACGGATTGATTGTTTGACACTACTAATATTTACGAATTGTTTATATTTAAACAAAATAAGGTATCTTTTAGCTAGAAATTCTATTATAGTTTAGTTCAGCTTGATCGGTTTGAATATGTTTGACTAACATTTAAATAATATATATATACATATATGTATATATACGTATATCAGTAACTGATATACCGATATACATATACATATGTATACATATATACATAATCATAGTTAGAAATACACAGAGGGGAGCGCGCGCGCGCACATGCATACACGCACCCATATATTGTTGATCAGTGAACCGAAAATGATCGGAAAATTGACCGGCTAGACGGAAAAACTTGTGGTACAATCAAAAGCGAGAAAGACATTGTGGAGGAGTCGCGATGCGTAAGCAACGTTAATTAACCTAGGTATTCAGAAACGATGAGTTATTTACCGTATCACCATGCTGAGCTCTGCGTTCAAAAACGGTATCGCTGTATGTTCGAGACTCGCGACAACAGCCACCCGTTTTGATCGTTGATCACGAGCCTAACGGTATACAAAAATCATTTGTCCACTCTGTTTAGCTTTAATTTAATTTTCCATTTCTAAATTACACCGTTACTAAGTTCGTACGCTGCTCCACCAATCTCGCGCTTACGATCCTATTATACATGATCGCGATGCGCACAGGAATCGCGGCCACTAATGAAACCGACTGAGAAAATCGACACAATACCGAACGAATTCCAACAAAAAAAATTCACAGCGGAACGAAACACCGATTTATTCTATCGATAATCGCTTGACGCACCGATTATTTGTGTGTGTCTCTCATAAACTATACGCATCGAGACAACCCCATGTTGAACGATGTACAATGAGCGGAGGCTCGTTGGAAATCAACCTTACAAAAAGAAACTTCTCCTTGCTATGGTCTCCGAACCTGCCACCAGAGGGTTGCAAATAAACTTCTCGGAGAAGAACAGTTAGAACTTGGAATCAAAATCGAGTAGAATACGTATAAACGGTAAGACGTTGATAAGCATCTTGTACAATAAAGGATTCTTTAACCAAGTGTTTATTACCATTGTCTTAACTAAAAACATTCAGTGTAAACACAAATAACCCGTTCAAAGCTATGATTGGTAACCGGATGCAGTTGATGCACTGGCCCTAGCCAATGGCATTTTGCCGTCTGCCACGTTTCCGGGGTTGTCGCATTGTCACGTTGTCAGTTGTGGTTGCGGGAAAAGTCAGGCCGCTGAACGTAGTTTTGGTTACGGTCCGTGTTGGCGGTTTTATTTGGCCGTCGAAAATGCAAATATTGCGACAATTAGATGTACATCCAAAAGTGCGCGATGAAGCAGATATCCTGGTGCGAACTTTCAGTGGTGCCATCGGTAAAGTGAAACGCTTGTCAGACTTTCTACGATTACTGTATGTCAAAATCCAGCTTTGTGCTGTACCCAATGTTTACCGATAAACATGCTAATTCTTTAATACTAGGAATGCTTTGAATAATTTATATTTTTATATTTTGTTTAGAACATCATATGCTGCCGTTATTTTATCAGAATAACCTCAAAAAACCTCAATACTTTCAGCCTAAAAACAATTTTCCTTTTAGCATTAATTACTCACTGATGCATCAGCTTCTATTCATTATATTTATCGATGTTTTTGTCCTTTCGATGTTTAATGTTTATATTTGTTTAATAGTAAATATAATTTATAATGTATACATTACTCACATGTGCATTCATTCTGTGTTTCCAGTGACTATCATTAGCACCATTATAATGGGAATGTTGTTTTTATCCGAAGTGAATTATTATCTCACACCAACCCTTAGTGAAGAACTATTTGTGGATACCTCAAGGGGTTCCAAGTTGAGAATTAATTTAGACATCATAGTTCCCATGATATCTTGTGAACGTAAATAAACATTTTATCAGTATAGCGTTTTATAATTGATGGCAATAACACTTCTGCTAAAACATGTATCTTTTAGTTTTGTCAATAGATGCTATGGATACTACGGGTGAACAGCACTTGCAGATAGAACACAACATATTTAAAAGACGCTTAGACCTGAATGGAAAACCCATAGAGGATCCACAGAAGACAGGTACGTATAATCATTCCTATTAAAAGAGATTTAAAATTAAATATCATAGTTAGTTTTGTATCTTGTAATTTGTTTCATTACAGATATTACAGATACAAAAGCACTTAATAAAACCACAGCAAAGGTTTGTCATTTGCTTAAATTATTCTATTTTAGAATCATATAAAAAAGTAATCATTTCTTGCAGACAGAGGAAAGTAGTACTCCTAAAACATGTGGGGACTGTTATGGAGCTGCTAGCGCAACTATTAAGTATAGTATATAAACATTTAATATGTACTATGGATAAAATTTATACAACTAATTAAAACTATTGTGTAGGTGTTGTAACACTTGCGAGGATGTAAGAGAAGCCTACAGAGTGAAAACATGGGCACCACCTGATCCAGCAGACATAAAACAATGTCAAAATGACAAATCAATTGAGAAATATAAAAACACTTTTACCCAAGGATGTCAGATCTATGGGTATATGGAGGTGAATAGAGTAGGGGGAAGTTTCCACATTGCACCTGGCGATAGCTTTTCTGTTAATCATGTACACGGTAAATTAAATGTCAATTTGTCTCCTACCCAAATTAATGTTTCTATTTTTGTTATGGTGTTTCTAACGTCTACCATATAATAGAATTGTGATAATAATGATTTACAGTGCACGATGCTCAACCATACACGTCGGCTCAGTTTAACATGTCCCATAAAATTCACCACTTAAGTTTTGGATTGAACATCCCAGGGAAGACAAACCCCATGGACGATACTTTTGCTCTTGCAATCGAAGGTATGCCTTGCTACATAGAAATTTTTTTATTAAGAAATGAACAAAGTGAGCTCTTGCTACAATCCTCTGTGCCCTAAAGTATAAACATAACAGTTCTCAAGTGCCTAGCATCGTATCCCAGTCCCTATGGCCATAAATGTACCGAATGTTCCACCGCCTTGAAGCATCACCTTCCCAACGTTGTTTATCAGTTCTCTTCCTCTTAATCCATACCTAATAATAAATGTTCCATTACCATCTAGACCAAGTTATCATATAAATTGATTTAAATTGGATAAAGATATACCTAAGTGCAGAGAATCCCCCGAACAAAGCACCAGAGGCCATACCAACGCAAAATCCAATCATAAAACCCATTTTCATCCTATCCCAACATGAAGGAGTTTGTTGATACACTCCTCCTGGTACTACTGGCATTTTGCTCTACAAATACAATTTATAATACAATGTATGTTCCCTTAACCTATCTCGCTTACTGCGATCAAAATTAATTAACACCAAACAAGCAACTTTAGTTCCGACATACATTTTAACACAATGCTGATCGAGTTCGATCGGAAAATGATTTTCATTTTCTAAAAATATTTGTATATTTTTCATAAAAATTTTATTTACTTCATAATCGAATGAATTTATTAATATAATACTCACATTTTAAACGTGCGTCGTAAAATCTTGATTTGCGTTTACGTTTCTGTGTACTTCTTTATAATATATGATTTACAAATCTTTCGAAGAATTTTGTTAACACATTTCACCATTGAGATTGTGCGGAAAGGCAAGCGCCATGTTTGTACTTTCTGGCTTATGCGATAACGACTGTTTTCGTTACTTCCGTTCCTCGTCTGATACATCTATCAATGGCGGGCTTTTTGAATTGTCAATTTGTGCAATAATGTACCGATAATTTATTAGACGCTTTCGTACTTTCAATTTTGGCATGCAAAATATGGAAACTATCTCTTCATATGCAATGACACGTGTCCTTTTAATTGAATCTCTATATTAACTTTCCGTTGTTTTTTTTTCATTTTGCAGGGACGATGATGTTTTATTATTATATAAAAATTGTGCCTACGACCTACGTTCGAGCCGATGGGTCTACTTTGTTAACGAATCAGTTCTCGGTGACACGACACGTCAGAAAAGTATCAGTGTTCGGCGAGTCCGTAATGCCTGGAATATATTTTAGCTACGAGCTCAGTCCGCTTATGGTAAAGTATACGGAAAAAGCAAAATCATTCAGTCATTTTGCAACGAATGCGTGCGCGATCATCGGTGGTGTTTTCACTGTTGCTGGATTGGTTGATTCGTTACTTTATCACTCCGTTAAAGCGATACAAAAAAAGATAGAGCTAGGAAAGTACAATTGAAGTTTTTTATGGGCAAACGTTAAAAAGTATTATAGATAATAAATGTCGGTGTGCATATGTGATGTGTAAGATTCGTATAAAAAAGAACGACCGAAAGAATATAAATCGATGCATTTCAGTATATGTTTCTTTACCTTGACTAAGACAAAATTATGAACATGGCTTAAATACTTCTCTGTGACATATAAAATTGTACATAAAGATTTGTAGGCATACATAAGAAAATTTAAGATTTAAGTATATACACAATAAAAGTTACCCTGCTAACGCACATCGTATTTATTTAAATTAAATGGTTTTTAGAAACAGATTGTACGTATCAATGGATGCTTTTGCTACATTGTTACAAAATTCAATATCGGTGCCACCGACTACATCTTTCAACGACACATATAACGGTTTTGTAGGATCGTATTGATTCCGCTTTAACTCTACCAAAAATTGATGTCTTGAGTGGAGTAAACTTTTTCTGTAAGTTAAAGCCTTTGATTGTATGGATATTAGTTTATGAGATATATTCATCTGATTGTGTATATAATCGAAAGCGTCCACTATTTTCGATCTACCTACAACCACAATCATAGCTACTTTAAAAACATTACTTAAAGTAATATTTGTTACTGTGTCTATACTTACTGTTTATCCAAACAAGAGGTGAATCCAACAAGATACGTTTTATTTCAGTTAGATTGAAACCCATTTCCTCTTTCACAGAGAAAGTATTCTCTTTTATATGCATCATATCGTATGTTATAAGTTTGGGACATTTCGTTGCTAAATACCTTACTTGGTCACCATCTAATTTGAAAGTCCATTGAAAATGACCCAATCTTCCATCTATTTTTTGCGTTTTACAGGACAACCACAATGGATTACCGGTTATAATCCTTTGTATCATTGGAGGGGTAAATAAGTGAGCTGCTAAATATCTTATCCTAGTGTGAAGATCATCCATATCCTCTTTGAAAATTCTTGGATTTTTCGTGATAAATCTGCCAAGATTTTCTGGTTGTAGACCACAATCATGTAAGAACGTTATGTAAGGTTTTATATCCCTGTCAAAGTCTAGGCTCAAGTACATTTCAACTAAATCTCGATGTTTTTCTAATTTATGTAAATCCACACCCAAATCGACCAACTTTTGAATGGTAATCGAATCATCTGCAAATTTTGCAAAGTTGAAAGTTGGGGTAATATAAGGTCCTATATGAGAAAGATCTTCGTTGCACTTATCCAATGGTCCTGGTAACTTCTCATCTTCAATTTTTATAGCATCGTTGAATTTAAGATCATACGTATCTAATAAAGTAATAGTCTCTTCCAAATTAGATCCACTCAAAGATTCTTGTACAGTCTTATTCGTATCATGTTCCCCTAATCCTATACAATCCATTCCCATAACAGATTCTCTCGAGGTTACTTTTTCTGTTATGCTTTCATTGCACTCTTTACTTACATTGCTACTTTCAGAATTTTCAATTTTTGAAACGTTGACATAACCTCTTGTAATCTTAGATGCGATATCTTTCGACGAGTGACAATCCTTGGAAACTTGATTGGACGCTTTTTCTTCATCACATTCAGTTGTGAAATTTCTATGGAAATTGGAATTAGACAAACCATTGTGAAACAAACAACTCGTAATCCCACTGATTCGTGTATAGGTTAGACGAAGAATAATGTATGATTTCAGCAATGTCATATCTGCGGATACATGATTAATGTAAACATACATGCATATTATCAGCTCGTATAAAGTTTCATATTTTCTTACTACAACGTAAAGTAAATTTTTCTTCCTTGTAGCCGTTTTTATTTGAATGATAATGATTTTTGTTGTTTTTCAAATGCTAATTTCGACAAGAATCGCAAACATACTTCTTGGGCGATTACTGCACCACTTCATTGTAGAGAAATCTCGAAGCTTCGTTCAGGAGTTCATACAGGACCAATTAGTATAGCGGCAAAATGCTCAAATTGTTACCAACCGATATCGATAGAATAAGTTTTTTTTATTGCAAGGGCCATGTGCGAAATTTTGCTCATAAGTGGTGTCATAGACGAGGTATAAGAGATTCTGATACCTTGTCTATGGTAATATATATAAGATAGACTAACAAGTTTTTTTATTTATTCCGAATTGTCCAGTAAGCAGATAGAGTAAGTTAGACACTCTATTGCACTCTATGTTACCAAGTCATATGTTAGACGTGTTTAATTTTTGTTGAGATAATATGTAAATGATAATATATATATAATATATATAATATATATAAATGACATCTCATTACACCGTTTTTTTTGTACATCCTTATATTGTTTATATATGCACCTCAAAACTTAGATATGTAAATACGTAAATATATAAATGTTGGACGTTGGTCAAAATCCTCCGTCCGCGTTTTATATTCGTAATGACAAGGTGGCATTTTTCACAGAAAGATATAATTAGAGAAAGTAATTTAGAAATCTTCAGCATCTTTCCTATGTGTTTCTATGTTTCTAGCACAAATGCAGCGGTTTTAACAGGAGAGTATAATAGTTAATAGTACAGTTAATATAGTACTGCGCGTTCAATCCACAGTAAATCATGCCTTGGCATTAAATCGTCAGCCAATCACAGAGCAAAGCAATATTTCCTTCTAGTCTCTCTAACGGAGTGCGCTGCGGGCGAAACTTGAAGCGTTACTGTAGTATTGCCATGCGAGCTTCTGTTCGACCTCTTCCATAATTTTGCGCTCCTAATCGAAGCTGTCAGGAAAAATCCCTCGACGAGGGATTTTTCCCCTTCCTTCGCCATCTATATGACCCCACCATTGGTACCATTGCCCCACCTATACAATTTACATTATTTACGTCACATTAACTTTCGTCTTCAATTTTATTAAAATGCTATTTAATTGATCCTTGTATTTCCTTTCTGTGTGCCGCTTAGTGTAGTAACTTCTTCCTAGCAATCGATGATAGAGGTTGTTCTCAAATCCTTCAACCTGGCAACAACAAAAAAAGACAGCTTACTTCCGCTGAAAATATTCAAAAGATAATAGACAGGGATTGAGAAGGTTCCGAAAATAATTGTTTCAAACTGTTATATATCGGTTATACACGATATACATGCAATATACATTTTACTTCTATAATCCCCAAATATTTGTGCACAAGTTTTAAATTACTTATAAATGTATGCGTGTTGGGTTTAATAGTTTAAAAAGATTTCAGTTATATTTTAACCGAGGGTCTACCGACCGCTAAAATTCGCAGACATATTGGCTATAGTGGTATAAAAGTTGGTACCCTTAGACCGCAGTGGCGGGAATTAGCACCGTGTCACGCTGGTACAGCTACAACTCCTTTAGCTACCAATAAAACAATTAAGTACATATAACCAAGTGTTCTTTAATTTTCGCAATAATTAGTCTCTTTTGATATTGGTACTGTTCTTCAATTAGATCGTTCATTAATATGTACAATAGGCAGAAGATGATTTTCAGTTATCGATACAATAAAATTTTATTTCTTATTCGAGATATTACATTGCATTATTTAAATGATGGATATCTGCAGACTGCAGACTCTCCCTGCTTTCACCGTCCTGTTCGGACATATTCTCCGATGACGAAGCAGCCTGTTCTGTTCTGCAATTCAAATAAGGAAATAAAACTTTGTTCATCACCGATCTGCAAAACTATATAACAAGTCAACCATAAATTCGTTATTTTTTTTTTACATTTTTAACGATGTTGCTTCATTGTTAATCTTTCTCCTCTCAGTTTCCAACAATTTCTGTCTAGCTAAGTTTTCTTTAAGCGTTTCTTTCAGAATCAAATTGTATATTTGGGTAGTATTTAATCGGTTGGATGGATTTGTGCTCTTTTCGATGGTATTTTTCAGAGATTCAAATAAATTCTCCTTTCTTGTTCGTGTTTCTATAATATAGAAAAATTACTTCTTTCAAAGATTATGTTTCTAAGAAGTACATTAATTTAAATCGTCGATGGGAAAAAGTTAATATTTTGTTTTACCAGACGATTCAAAATGTTTTTCTCTGGCTTCTGGAAGTACATCCTCAAAGGAATACCGTGGAGTTAGTAAAGTGTCCGATGATCCCTCTTTATTATCAAACAAGGACCTTTGCAATGGCGCCATTGACAGACTTTCAGTATTATCTGCTATCTCCTCTATTATATCAAAAGATCTCTCGGGTGTACAAAGATTTTCAGTACTTTCGTTGATTGTTAACGTTTCGATCAGAGGTCTACGAGTCAATCTGTTGCATGTGGTCAGAGAATTTCTAACTTTCCATCTTATCCAGTTAGCCCTGAGATGAATTGCAATATTGTAAATTTCAAGATTTTAAAGAAAGTCGTTCAAAAGAAATGAATTCACTTACAAGCATCTGGTGTGCACTAGTCCAAAAATAATAAGTGGCGTAAATATTATAGCCACAATGTAAATAAACATTTTTATATGTTCGAAACCATATGACTGTTCAATGAACCATTTTGTCAATTGACTGATATTTGGTGACAAATGATAGATTAATCTGACCACCTATGTTTTTCTCGCATGACAATAACGAGTAAAACAAGATAGCGATGTAATCTGAAAATTCCGATGTTTTCACGTAGCCTTTCCTCTCTGTCGCAGTTTAACCAGAAATTAGAGAACGTATTCTTGTATCTGATGCTTGACATTGATAATATGTGCATGCAAACAATACATTTGTATTTTACAATTTGTTTATTTATGCATTGATTTACGACAAAGGACAGCAATGTCCAGCATCAGACACCAGCCGGTTTCGAAGTTGTTCACCTACGTATAAAAAATATATCAGCAGGAAAAATAAAGATATATCAAAACTAGATCACAAAATATGCATACAAAAGTTTACTTTTAATGATTAACAAATCTGATGTATAGCACAAACAGTGTTTGTTGTTTTTCTTTTATGAAACAATTTAAATATGTATACGTATATATGCATATATAAATGCTATGGATTGCTCTTGAACAGTTTTTACCGATTTTATAGAACATTCAGAAGGAAACGTACAAATTTATAAGTGACGCGTATTTTGCCTCATCAACTTATTTGTCTTAGTTTTCTTATTGCACAGAAAAGAAATATCGATCGGTAAACGTCTCAAGCTAATATACACAAAATTAAGTATAAGTTTTCAATATCCCAACATTTATAAACCAATAATGTTCCATTTATCCCTTAATAAAATAAAGAAATATGATTTCGAATGTACATGACAACTGCTTATACCTTTCTCCATGACGACAGAACATTTTAAAAGGACAAAAAGTACATACAAAGAAAAAACTAGTTATCAGTTAGGTGCGCGTTCATAGAATTGTGACATACAAAAAAAATAGGATTATCTTCTAGGATAAACTGTTATCACTTAACCATTTTTTCTTCTTTCTGATACAGAAATTTGCATCCAGTAAGATTCAATTCATGTATGTATATGTTTGATAAGTCAGTGGACATGATTTCGACAATTTTCGCTTTATTCGATATCCGATATCTAATATCAGATATTCGACTTACCAGAACTCAAATGACTCAACGCGGAAGGAACCACATTTGCTAAAAAATTCCATTTCAGTTACATTTAAAGTACAGATTTAAAACAGTTCAACGCTATAATACCACATACAACTTTTATAACTCTTATCCGTACATTGAATCTGTGCTTTAATTATAACTACTGCGCGTCGTCCATAGATCTAGTTTCTGTTT